CGTTCCTCTCTCTAATCTCGAGAATAGGAGTTAGATAGATGAAATTTGAGACCGGACGTGGAAACCTTATGGATGGGAGGATCTGATTAACTATATACAAACTTCCAATGCAAACTGGAAGTCACGTTATTTCAATTAAAAAATTTTCCCTAAAATGAGTCGGATAGACGATCGGCAGGGCTCTATTGCTAAAGGAAAAGTATGATGTATAGGAGCAATACACTACAGTACTAATTTGAAGTGGAGAGCATATATTTTTAATTAAATTAAAAATATGATTAAAAATTGCAACTTGGCATTGTTGTATTGTCAAAATAAATAATTGCTTGTTAATTTTTTATTTTTGAAAAACATAATATAAAAAAATGTTATTTTGTTTTTCAAAATATTCTTGAGAAAACTAAAGCTTTATGATGAAATCTTTCAAATATTCCAACATTTATTTTCTCACCAACTATTTATTATAAAATGACATTTCAATTTACATTATCTTTTCTTATAAACTCATCAGTTTATAATTTAAATACAGTACTTGTGAATGAGATTTTTAGTACTATCCTTTATTTTTAATGTTATTAGTTTCATTTGTTTAGAAACTATTAAAAATTGTTTTTTCCCCTTTGAGTTTAATAGTGTTGCGGAAGTCATTGAAATTCTAATCTGGAATTTTTCTCACCATAAATTGTAAATATTGGTAAACCCTTTGAATTATACATTCTAATCATAAATTATTCTTACTTCATAAGTTAGTGATGCAATTGCTTTATCATCTCATCAGTTATCTTCAAGTACACTTTTCTGTCATGATAGTGAAATAATACAAAACAAAAAAATTATCTGTTTTTGTTCATATTCCATTTTGAGTTCAATTCTGAGAAAATGTCTTTTCCTGTTTGTAGAAACTGGATATTATATCAGTTTCCTTGATTTTTAAGGTGAGTGCCACGACATTGATTAGTAGAAAATGTTTACATCATATTGTGTCATCCATAGTCTTTTTCTTAGAAGCAGGAAAATGATTGATATTTTTTTTAGTTTGGTGCAGCGCAATCGGATATATTTTTTTTTATATTTTACATATTAAAGATTGACTTTCAGTTTGCTATTTACTAAAAAGAAAATAGCATTCAGCCTGATATTTTAGTTACAGAATTCTAATAACTTTTCTAGTTTGTTTAATAAAAGAATCAATTTAAGTTCAAACTGTTTTATTACTAATACATAATGTATGTATGTATATATTTACATTCTCTATAATATCTCGTTTTCTTTATTTGGGCCACTGGCTATATGCAGTGTATACGGGCTAAGCTGTGGGGCTTGTTTTGTGTATATTGTTATATGCAGTAATACAAAACAAGTGTTACAGTTCAATATCCCGTTATTTAATCAATGATTAAAATATTTTGGTTAGTGTTCGAGTTAGGAAAGTCGCTATTAAATCAGCTAAAGAATTCCCACGTGATCCCCGGTGAGGCTGGGATGGGTGTTAACTCCGAAACTTCAATTATGAATTTCGAATTCATATTTGAAGTTTCACAATTCCGAAAAGATTAAGAATTTTTCTTTATTCAAATAAATAAGCAGATTTTATTTAGTCTCGTTACGCAAGAAACAAGAATTATTTGCGGTTCTAATAATCAAACAAGATACGAAAGAGAATACAAAGAGCCTATTGCATCGACTCTACGTGACACTTTAGATAACGTGATTTAGGAAAAATAGTTTGTTTTTTAGCATAGAATCCAAACGTGTTAACATTTTGATAGGTTTCATTTAAAATTTCACAATTTGACTTTCACTCCTACGTGAGTCAAGTCATTTCTTTAGTTGATTTAATAAAGTCTTTCCTAACTTGTTACTGACGAAGAAATTATTTTTAATCTTTGATATCGGGATACCGGGCTGTAACAATATTAGGGCCACTCTTGTATGTATGTTACACAGTGAAAACTGGATTATCCGAACTTGATGGGACTAAAGGTCTTTGGGATAAACGAAATTTCGGATAATGCAGAAACTCGTTTGTTTTGTGTTTTAGGTACTTCAAGCACTGCGAAATTAAAGTTTTGTGATCGATAGATATTGCAGGAAAAACCTTGGCAAGTTGGAAAAGTACGCGGTTTGGATGTTTTTATTGAATGTTAGCGTGTTAAATGTCGTGTCATCAGATGTGGCAATTAGTTGGACGTCACTATTAAAGTCTTTTCAGAAAAAAATACTTTTTTGAGAATGCCATTTGTTTCAATTTCCCCGAACATAGAGTATGTTGAAACAGAGCGTGAGGTAGTGACTAGACATCCCGGGTTAACCGGGACAATCCCACTTTTTGACCGTCCGGGCTTGGAAAAATGTTCCAGATTATCCCGTTTTTTATTTATAAGTAAATAGTTCATATTAAAAAATTAAAAACATTTAATTTAAAAAAATTGCTTCGAAGAATTCTCTTTTAACGTTTATTATATATAGAATATTCCATCCTTGTAAATTACCACAATGTTACTTATGTAGAGATGCAGCTAAGCATAGCGCTATTACCTAAATCTTACACTAAACGCTAACTGCCCTGATTTCAGATCAATACGGTTATTGCTGTATATTGGTTGGCCTAGAATTAGGTCTTATTGTACTAATAAGTACAAACACTTTTGACGTGTTTTCATATATCGTACAGTGAAAATTAATGTGTAATAAATATAAAGCTATAAAATTATTTTCGTAATACTGTATAAGTAAAATCGTGTACCGCAAACTCGTCCAAATTTTAAAAAATATTTTTTATTAATTTTTTTTTACCTTTATGAATTTATATATTACTTTAAAAGCCAAAGAAATAAGCAAATTTTATTTGTTTGTATTAAATTTTCATTAAAAAAAGAACACCGTGAATTTGCATTGCCAAAAAGAAAATCTCTCGCAATATTAGTCGTTGATATAGACAATAAATTATTAAGCAATGATGTCATTCGAATAATCTCGCACCTTATATTTCCTACCGTCCTGGGTCGAAGTTCAGAAAATGTGGTCACTTAGCGTGAGATGAATTAGAACTATATATTCTGGTTAATGTAAACCATAATAATAAATATACGTACTATACATATCGTAGAGACATTTTTCTTTATTCTTATGTTGAAAATAATTAATTCCATTCTGAATATTATACTTTAGTTGCACTACGGACACAAATACCGGGAGATATTTTAAGATAGTTTTACGCAGAGTCATCCGAGTTACAATGGTGGCATACGTAGAATGGATCGCTATCCGTGCATTTTTTATCCGACCGTTCTTTGCACCGCAAAGAATATTTATGATGTTGGATCTGTATTGCGTGCTTTTGCGGATCATAAGCCAGCCGCCCGACGTCATCGGATGCGAGGCCAAAGTAAAAGCTGCCGCCTTCCTCAATATAGCGAGCAATATCGCTTTCTTGAAAATTGGTAAAGCTCTTCCTTGGCGCATAGTCCACTTCCAGTTACAATAAGCTACGTGTATCTTCGTTGCCGGTGCTGTTTTTACACTCGTAAGAAGAGCAAATGTGCCATCGAGTGGGAACGAAGAAATAATGCGCGCACTATTCCCCCTCCCCAAATGCAGTCTACTTACTCGTATACTTCTTAACTTTCTGCACGTATCTGTATATAGTCACGAGTGGTACTGTACGTCGCTAGTCTTTGCCAGAACGCGAACAGACTCATTCGATTTCAAAACACTTCCGACAGCATCCGGCATCTTCACTTCACTCACTTCTATTGTGTTTTCGTTTATAGTTTCGTATCGTCTCGAGAAACAGCAAATACGATTAAAAATTGCGGCCCGGAATTGCGACGATGACAAAATAAATAATTGCTCGTTTTATAATATATTTTGTTTAGGCCTAATTTATATTGTACGCGTCTTAAAGTTAAATAATTTAATATACTTTGCTATGTATTAATAACTCGCGCGAATAGTCGTACTTGTCTTCGGGACGACACATTTCGTCGCTGAACAAAGAAATGGCGCGAAAATTTCAATATATTCCGTGTTCCAACCTGCCCCGGTCTCTGCTAATGCAATTACTGTACGAGGAAGTAGATTAATTTATTCAAACTCTAGAGGAATATTACGTACGTGACCTAGTTTCGTGGCGCTACAATCGACAGCTGGCGTAGCGATCCCAGTACAATACGAAAGACGCGAAGTTATTTTAGACTAATTTTTATATTATTAGTTTATAAATTAATATACAAATTTAATGCTTTTCTCGGAGTAAAATTTTATAGAGAACTGGTTCTACGAAAAACATTTTTTAAATTGATTTATAGTTGAGGAGCTTTTTCAACTAGCGCTTTTATATTGTATATTACATAAATGAGTTATATAAATACTTTTATGTTATATGTATATATGCATATATACACAACGCGTTATATAACAGGAAATTATTAAATAAAGGTTAAATTTTCCTTTATTTAATAAGATTTGATTTCATAGTTAGCGATTATTAAAATATAGGCTATTTGTTACTGATCAAATTTTTAAAAAATACATTTAAAATATAAGCTCGCACTTTTTTTAATATTTAAATAATAATAAGAGTTTTTAAATAAAAAATCTAAATTCATAAAATTCATTACGAATTGTATTTTGAAATATTTAACGGCGAAAATATACAGATTGGTTGTTACTTAGAATTGAAAAGAACGGATCTAAAAGTTTCTGATGGCAATCATTAGACATTTTGAAAGTATTTTTAACACGAATCTGATAAAAATAATCTTTAATAGTAGGCCTAGTGAATATTTTTTATTATAAACATTTATTTTTTAAGTCGTACGCGCGGCAGATTACGTAAGATAAATTGATTCCACTAATGCTAATATAATTGCATTAGTGGAGTCAATTTAAACTCTTAAGTTGATAGTTACTGTCCAAAAGCGGTAACATTGTTAGGAGTAAAAGAAGTTAGAGCGACCGGAGAGATTAATATTTATTGTCTGTAGTCGGAGTTCGAACGCGTCGTTATATTCGTTGGATGGAATGTCGTTCGAGTAATGAATAATTAATTCAAATCCCGAACCAACGGCCGGATTTTCATCGGGCTATAAAGGTAAATAATTAGTAAGCAATTTGGCGGAGGCGGGCCACTATCTCTCGTTAAATACAATAATTATAAATTAATTAATAAATTTCAGAATATTCTAGAAGAATTAATAATGAAATTATTATAATCTTATGATTCGATTACGCGAATTCGCGAGTTTATCGCTTACTAAGCAGTCTTTTCTAACCCGAAACATCACAGAAAGTAAGGTTATTTAATGAAACTAAACGTTGGATATATTTGCGTATTTGTTACGATAATTTTGATTTCTGGTGAAAAAATAATGTTTTTTTAAATGACGATTAGTCCAATATTAGAGCAGTTTTAATATTTCGTCGAGTAATGAAGAATTCTTTGCACTAACAATAATACACGAATCAGTTGAGTGGGGTATGCCGTCTAGTTGGCGATGGAAGAATCTAATGATGGAATCTCGGAATTATTAAGAATATTAAAATGTTTGGATTCATAAATGACGTTTTAATCGATATCTTTCGTCTTTTTCTTATACAATATCGCTTCCGACCTCGAGGAACCGGGTTCTACTCGGATTCAGTTCTTCGTTATTTCGCGAATAATCTGGATGGACGAGTAATTTTCACTTTTATCGTCTACGTTGGTCGAATATTGCCAGTCGATTCTGCCCATTATAAACGGGTCCGAAGCCGGTCAAATAACACTTAGTTTAACCACTCGCGCCAATAAATAACGAAATTAACCTTCTGAAGAATGTGTTTGAAACAAAGTTTTCCTTAGAATTGTCCTTAAAAGTAGGAAATTGCCGTGACTCGAGTGAGAAATTTTATTTAATTCGTCTAGTAAATGCGGAAAAGAATTACAGGCCGAACCAAGGTTGTCTAAAAGAAATTCCGTGTCTTCCTTTTGGCACTTTTTTTATTCCTATTTATTAATCACTGGAAAAGTATCGTAGAACAGCGCATTAATTTCTTAATTAATACATTTTATATACCGTATTAAAATGCATATTTGCCGTAGACAAGTTGCTCCCGAGTTTAAATTTAAAACAGGGTGCTGGGAACAGCACCCGTGTTTTAAATTTTCTCTTACTTATCTACCTCCATCTGGCTGGAGGAAATCGAAGACTTGGAAGCGTGGCCGAGTTCACTAACAAATAGACTGTTTTTTAAAGTTAGGAACGTCGCTCCAGGAGGGAAGTTTATGTTAGGCGGAACGGATAACCCGCTGAAAATTCTAACGAAAACTCTGGCCGGATTAAAATCGCGTAGACAAACGGATCTACCAAAAAAGAAGTGACGCTACTCGAATAAAAACGTTAATAAGTAAATGAATTAAAACGTTCTACTAGCTCTTTCGTAAACCGTCGAGTTAGTTCAATTTATACGTGATTATTAAACTTTATATTGGCTTTATGTTTATAGAACATAAATTATATTCTAAGCAAATTATTGCTCGTCAATATGCCAGCGTTAACTTTTTTAAAATAATTGCATTAGAATTCCTCGCAGTATAAGTAATAATTTCCCTTCTTAATTCATGGATTTGTTTATATACATAATTCACAGAATTACGGGATGTCGTAACGCAGTCGCCGAAAAAATTTTAATTACTAAAAATTTAAATGCACTTTCGCATTCAGTTTTATTTCGGAGCGAACGTGTCTACATTCTTTATTTTAATAAAGCAAAAGTTACTTTCGTATTCGTTAGTGTATATTTATGTAAATTTATTCCGTCAATTTTTAAATTTTTTAATAAAGTCGCGATTCCAGAAATTACGTAAACTGTCGACTTAAGAGTTTTATCGTTTATTACTTGAAATATATATAATAGAATGATTTTTTAAGTACAGAGTTTAAAAGTAAAAGGAATCAACAGTTTATATTTTGAAATTTGTATTTATTGATTATTTAAAATGTACGTATCAAGTTTAATAGCGGGTGTTGGTTTTTCTTCTTCTTTTCGACCCCAGTCCGGTCGTCGCTTGGTAAGAATTACTTTAAAATGGTGAATTTTTCCAAGTCACGTTATACGGTATTTTGTTTTAAAAATGATGATGAAACACTATAAGTGAACGTCGGTACTCGTCACCCGACTATTAATAGAACTGAAAGTTTCCGCAAGATTTGCAAAAATGATCGGCTTTCGTAGTCTCGATTACTCGGTATTTAAAAAATACCGTTCTTTCCCGCCATGCGTACTTTCCGATTATTTACAAAGTATTTGATGAATTTCGCGGCTAAACCACTTTTTCTAACCAATTTTTGATAGTTTCGTAATATTTGGACATCCAAATAACGTTGGCTTCTGCCGTTTCTAACGATTGTTTAAACGCGCGATTGGCGGTTCCCAGATCGCCTTTGTGGTCGTTATAAAAACTTTTCAGCTAAAAATTAAAATACAGTAGATTAAATTTGTACGAATTATTCTTCGTCCAATTAAAAAATATTAAAATTTACTGACCTGATCGAGTCCGAATTGCGTATTTAGCGACGACGTGATTGCGATTACCAAGTTTCTGAAGGCGAAAAATGACTTGCCGTAACTACGAAATAATATCAAATATGAGAAAAAAGCGGGTTTAAAATCGTCTTTGAGAATAAAAGCGTAATATTTTACATCTTGAACACTTTGTTCCATTTATCTCTGAAGTAGTTAAATGCGATGTCACGACCGTATTCGTTATTAGCCACCGCTCTAAAGGCGTAACTTCCATCTTGTTTTCTGATGCCAGATTTTGCGTCCAGAGACCAGTCCAGATATCTGCGTAATAAAAATTAAAACCGCTATCGATTTTTGCGCGTTTTAATAGTATAATAACGGCCGGCGTTAAATTATACCTGGATAACAACCACGGTGTCCTGCTGCAGGCCAAAGCTTTCATTATTTTATCCTTTTCCGACGCTATTTTGGCCTTTCTGTATTGTTGCCATCCGAATTCCCATTCTTCTTCTTCCCCGTTTTTAATCGCCGTGCAATAAACGATACTACGGAAATTCGGCGGTATGCTGAAACAACGGGAAGAAACGTTTAGCTAAATTTTAATTTTTAGTCGAATATTTTAAATAAAAACACCGTATTTACGTGTCTGTGTTGTTGGGGTCGTTCTGCCACATTTTATACCTTTTCTTGGCTTCTTCCACGCAATGAGGATGGTTATACTTACACATCCAAGCAATGACATTTATTCTTAAGTATCTAATAGATGGATAAAAATTATTGATAAACGAACAACTTTACGCGCGGCCGGGCCCACGCGTTAGGCCATTCTTTCTACTTAACTGTTTTAATACGGATTCGTTGTTTATGTCTTCCTCCCATCCCAGGAAATCGTACACCGGTTCCAGTTGTCTTTTGATGTATTTCTGAAAGAGGACGGGGTCAGATAGCTTTAAACTACGAAGAACGGAGGAAAATAAACTCACCTTCCATTTTCCTAACATGGCGGTACGGCTCAGCATGGTATCTAAATAACTAAAGGCGTTGAGGGCCGCCTCCCAAGGAACGTATTCTCGTTCTTTAGATAAGTATAGCGTGGTATTTAGAGCCAAACCGTAATCCAGGATACCGGCTCTAAATACAAAACAGTTTCATGGTATTAATTTATCGTTTAAATTTTAATAACAGATGGCGCCACTCGAGATTTTTTTTAGTTTTAAGGCATCACCCTTACGTATACCGTAAACGATTGTTTAGTAATAGTTACTTAGGCTAAAAATAAGAAAAGAAAAATATATACGCACTTGGCGAGATCGAGGGCATCGTCCAGAATCTGCGCTCTGTTTATGACGTGTATTACCTGCCAATTAAAAATTCCCAGATAAGTTTAAAAGACAACTTTTTCTCTCGTCTTTTCAAACGTTTCGCTTACGGAATGGTCGTTCTGTAATTGGTCGATTAACAATTTCCAATTGCGTAGGTCGTAATTCGCGCGATAGTAACCCACTTGTTGAACGTTTAATATCACCCAATGTCGGTCGGACGGTAAGTTACTAATGCTCCCTGCAAAAAAAGTCGAATTGTGTTTGAAACCATCATATATTTTGTTATCCGTGTTCGTTTAAAAATTAAAATTATTTCGCGCGTTTTTACCCACAATCGATATATAATTTGTATATAAAACTTATCGAATAGAAGTAAAATTTACAATTATTGGTTCCCAGATAGTTAGTGGACCATTTAGCTTTTAATTTTCCTTCTTTTCTTTTTGTATATTAAAAAAAACAAATCGGGACAAAAACCGAAAATGAATAATAATGTACTGTACTATTAAACAATTAGTCACTGATATCTCGTAGTGACACGTAAGCGAAGAAAAATGGAACTTGTATTCGGTAAATAGGTATTTCTCGATTACCCGAAATGGTATTTTAAACAATTATTAATCTATAACGTTATTGATGGAAATAACGACACGAAACAGCGGAGTAATGCCAACCATAGTTTTTAAGGTTTGTTATATTTATTCGTTTCTTTTATACTCTAAAGAAAAAAAATATATATTAATATCGAAATATATTTGAATATATAAATTTAAAACGAATAAAAATGTTTATTTTATAATTTGTTTTTATACGATTACAAAATTGAAATTGTTTCCGCGGTGCCAATAACAACGCGTCGTACGGTATTATTAACTCTTATCGGCGACCGTAAATTTACGAAAATAAAAAAAAATTAAGTATACAAACCATTATTCTTATGTAACCATAATTTAGTTTCCGTGCTCCAATTGGGATCGCTTCCGTCCGTATAAGTCACCGGAATCTCCCAAAAATATCTGGAAAATATCGAGAGTGAGTGAATGCTTCGTCCTACGTGTTTTATCCGTACAATACAACTCGGCGATTTCGTTAACACCCACGCGCTAGCTATAAGCTATGTACACAGACGAAGCTCGTTGTCGACAATAAGTAACGCGGCGATTAAATAAATATTTATTTGCGAGTTTCTCTTAATAACTTTATTAAGAAGTACGGATGGGTGGCTCGGCAACAATAAAATCCACCATTTCTTCTTATTTGCCTAGCTAGTTTTTTTTAAACTTATAATTTCGTCGTTTACGCGTTTAAAATTTTTTAAATTCTTATCCCGTCGTCCTTAACGCTTCTGATATTTTTATTAATAAAAACGCGAAAGTGTTTAAAGATAAAACGTTCTTTTAGGTAGGGTAATTGCGTTTAATAGTATAATAAAACCGGGTTTTAAATTTTAAAGGAACTTTTACAATTAAAAAGAAAACGGCGAGTATAATCGATGGTGGCTAAGATTAAAAGTTATAAAGCGGAGAAGAAGGAAAAAAATACATGATTAATTACCTTTGTGCGAAGTCGGTGGCATTCAGCAAAAAGCGCGTTTGAGTGACGGTGGCCGTAGCCGCGTGGTAGTCGCGGGTCAAAGTTACTACGGGATAACCTGTCTGTAACGTCCACGAGTCCATGACGGACTTGACGTCGACTTTCTCTTCTTTCGGGACATTTTGAGCCTGTTAATCGTGAGGCCGAGTTAGAAAGAAGTTACGTTTACGCCCAGGCCACCGACGTAAAGCTACTTACGTCCGTTAGAAACTTCCACAAATCGTCTTGAACGGCGTTGTCGTAAGATTTATTACGCAGATAATTCTGTGGAAATATCTTTTAGAAAAGGCCAACAATTTCACCGGATAAATACATTTTCGTCTTAAAATTTTACCGTTAGTCCTCTTCTGAAAGTGTCGTCTCCTAGAAAGTAATTCATCATTCTGATAATACTCGCTCCCTAAATAAATAAATAAAAAAATGTACAAGAAATTTAAAAAATCTTCGTCGATATTTGACCAAGACCAATTACCTTTCCGTACGAAATGCTATCGAAAATTTCGTTAATTTCGTCGGGATTATTAACGGGAACGGATATGGGGTGGGATGTTTTTAACGAATCTAATTCGAATACTTCTTGCAGGTCGTCCACCACGAATTGTTGATTCTGAAAATATCAATGTATATATATAACGCGACTTAAACTCGAATTTATAATCGACGAATTAAGTTTGTATACGTATTTGAAATTTTGCAAAAGTGGGAGAAAGAATCTTACCATTTCCCAATCGGGGTGACACTTTTGAACGCCTAAAATTTCCACGTAACTCGCGAATCCTTCGTTCAACCAAAGATCGTCCCACCATTTCGGCGTGACTAAATTACCGAACCACTATAAAGAAAGGGGAAAATGCCCGCTTTTAAAACGTTAAATTAAATAATTACGCGCATACGGTGTTAAGCTACCTGATGAGCTAATTCGTGCGAGATGACCGAAGCTACCCTCTGCTTATTTCCGGCCGAAGATATTTTTGGGTCGTAGAGCAAAGCGGTTTCTCTAAAGGTGATAAGTCCCCAATTTTCCATGGCGCCGGCGTTGAAATCCGGTATGGAGATCATGTCTGCGGAAAATTTTTAAACGAGTGGATTTATAAATTCCATCCAATGCGAAAATTAAAAGAAAAATATATAGGATACCCATTTTTGGAAGCGGGTACGAGATATTGAAAAATTCGTCAAAATATTTTATTATCAGAGATCCGGTCTTCAGAGCGTATTCGGCAGTTTTTAAAGCTTCTTCTCTGGTCCAAACTTTCATCTAAGGAAAGGAACCGTTATAAATCTGGCATATTCCTACAAAAGATAGACGAGGACGGTCGACTTACGTTGGAAGAAGCGATGCTTTTATAGTCGCATACGATGAAAGCCAACAAATACGTCGACATGGGTACCGTCCTTTGGAATGTAACGGCTTCCCAACCGTCGTCTCTAAAATAGAGATAAATGTAAGTCTGACAATAGACAAAATTTAAATTAATCGACTTTCGTTTTTTATTACTTTCTTTTCCTCGTCGAGTGAGAGAAATACGTTGTTAGTAAGAATTCCGACGTAATACAGGTCTTAAAATTAGTCGAGGAATTCCTACTTTATTTAATACCTCGTAAATTTAAAACGAATTAAATAGTAAAATTAAGGCGAATCTTTTCTGGTCTTTTAGGAGTTTGTAGCGATTAAAAAGAAGGTTATTTAAGAATTTACAAAAACATAAAAGAGATTATTCTTAAACCATTTATTACTTTATAACTGGTTTATATATCCATTCATTCTAATTTACTGGGAGTACATACAGAAGCGAGTTATTCTACTTTCATTGTGGTAATTACTAGTAAATTGATCATTTCCTCCTTCCGTTCGGGCACACGTAAGTGTTTGAAAAGTAAGCGGCGCAAACTCCGCCGTACGTAGATAAAGTATGAGGTTTAAAATCGATTTACGTACCTAGTTTCTTTTTTACTTTCGGGCATATTCGATATGGCCGTCATATTTTGCGGCTTGACTAAAGTCACGTCGAAAGTGGCTTTCATGGCGGGCTCGTCGAAACAAGGGAAAGCTCTCCTGGCATCCGTGGGTTGGAATTGAGTAGTAGCCAGCCATCTGAATATATAAAAATCAAAAGTTATTACTCTACGTTCGAGAATTTTAGTTCGGAAGCCGTTTTATCTTATTAACTTAAGCTTAGCTACAAAGGAAACATTGGGTAACCGTCGATTAACATTTGCTCCCGCCGAGATGGATAAAAATGAATCTTTTATTACCGGAGTTAAAATTTTATTTCCTCGTCGTTTATTTCTACTGCTACATTTATTTATAATAACGTTTCGAATTTTTAAAAATAAAAGCCGTCTTACTCTAACGGGATTGTATAATATTAATGCACCGGCGGATCTCTTTATTCCTGGCTTTCGAGAGATTATTTCCGAATTAGATTTACATTTAAATAGAAATTTTCAAACATTAAAAACGAGTAGACGAATAGAAAACGAATCCAACATTATTTTAATTATATAAAATTGGGAATTTTCTGTTTTCTACAAACATTCATAAACGCCCGACTGACTTTTTTGCATTTGACTTTTACTTTTTGCGGATGAAATTTTCTTGCAAGTTATTTAAATTCTAATGTAATGCGCTAAAGGCGATAACTCGACGTTTCTGAAAAGTCGAATATTTGTAGCTGGCAGCATTTTATACAAACTGCGCCACCGTCACAAAAATATTCTTTTTTTTTTATTTCCCCTGTACAGGAATATTTATGTTAATTTACGATAAATCTGCAGTAGCCATCATTTATTTTTTATGAAGATTTCGATATTAATTAATAATCGCTGTTATTTTTGTTTAGCCAATTATTTGTAAATAATTTACAAAGATCGTATTGACTTTGAACAGATGCTTGATTCGTCTTTTCACTTATTACTTGGATTACCTGGATTTTGCCCGTTGTACCGTACTTTGTACGTTATTTGCAGCCTATCGTTTATATTAGACGTACAGTAACTTACTCTTTTTCTTTTCGGACCGTCGTCTTTAATAAATATCTCTATTTTCGTCGGAAAAATGTTAATAAAAATATATTAAAATTTTATACGTAAATATAATCTATATATAGATACGTATATAAATTTATTTACTATATACGAGATTAAAACTATATATAATATTATCTCGGAATTTTATTAAATCTAATGGTCGGAAACGTTATCGCGCGAATTTTGGCATAAATATAAATCCCTAACGAGCGAAAATAAAGTTTCTTTGTCCCATTTAGTCAGTAGCGTGCCATCTTTACAGTTAAGCAAACAATCCGCGACACGACGGACAACGTCCTCGTTGATGCCGAGTATAATGAATGAGTTGGCTCCTCCGAGACGTTAGCCTACACGCGTAACATACTCTATATAAGAAAACTAATTTTTCCAACGTTTCCTTAGTTATTCTAACTCCATGTAAATCGGAATTATCAAACAAATATTCCCTTACGATATTAAAGACTTTTATAAATAAATTCCAAGTGGTGGGAGTTCTATACAAATGCAAATCGGGTAATCGATGTTTCGGCAAATTTAATATATCCCGGATATCGATAATTAAATCTGCTAGGTATCCGACAAATTTAATGAAAGGAATCGCGCGTATTTACTAAAATTTTTAATATAGGAACGATTTAAAATTAGAAAATCTAAAGCCAATACCTTTGCAATGTAAGTTACGCGCGCAGTAAATTGTAAATGGCGACTGGTATAATTTCGATATATGAAATAGCGTAGTGTTTATTTGTACTTTCAAGGACGGTAAAGTTAAAGGTTAAAACCTAGAGCGAAAAAAATAAAGACGAATTAAAGCTAAACGGAAACTAAGATTATCGAGTTACAGAAGTCGTGTTGGATAAATCAGTGTCGTATTTTCTAACGGGAATAAAATATCCTTAGTCGGATTAAATGCCGTAGGGAAAGAGGGAAAAAAGTTACTTCAAATTTTAAGAGTTACTCCATTTTATATTTAGTAACAGTTAATTAACTAATATAGGCCTATTACTACTTTTTTCATTTTTTTTTTAAAGTCATTAATACGAATCGTTTCCGGTTCTGTTAAATTTCAATATATTTTTATCGCGTTACATGGGAAGCGTAATTTTCGAAATTATATTTGTTTCCTTCGCCCGACGAGTCGGCTAGACGCGTCCTTTGTTCCTATCGTTATCGGGTGAATGGCACCAGCTGCGTAAACCGGTGTTATTTAATACTTCGATATCGATACTTTACCCTCGTAACTTGTACCGAGTCCACTCGTTGTCTAGTTCAAACAATTTTCGACTTTCTTTTTATTTAAATAATTTCTAAACGAAACGGCGGTGGAGATAAACTCCGGCCGGAAAGGAACGATCCGTTAGAAAATCAAATATTGTACCACGTGGTACAGTACGTAATAGTAACAGTTTATCTTCCGAAGGGAAATTGTTGGAGAGAAACGTTGCGAAAAGACGTCGAGTTATCGAGTTGTTCGGTCTAGTCGAAACAACTCAATAACACGATAACACGAAAAAACCTGGCATCCGTCAATGGATTTCTGGATAAGGATGCGTACGATCGAATACGTACTCTTTAACGTGGCTGGGAATTTTCCATAATAAACATCTAACGTAGTTTCTTATAACTGTAAAATAGATTTCGAGTTACATTTTCCTCGTAGCGTAACAAATTTATATACTCTCGTCCAGTTTTTCACATTTTCTTCCATTACTTTTCCGTAAAACACGCGGAATACTACTCGTCATCCCGTACATATAATTAAAGTCGCGGTCTAGTAGATACATTTAAAATATACGACCGCGTACCGACGACGAAAGCTATTAATAACTACAATAATTCCCGCGGCAGAAATTAATCCCGTTATCTTCGAAATTAAAAAATCTATCCGGTTAAGTTTTCTTCTTTTTTTCGTACAGTCGGAATGCCTCATTAACATTGTTGGTTCGATTAAGTTTATAGCGCTAATTTGGCACCCACCGTGCTAAATTTTATCTCGAAAGTGCGAGAACAATTGATACCCAGCTCTTTTCGAAATTGTCATTAGTATTTAACCAGCGCGCTCTGGTTAAACCATGACCTTATTTCGTATTATAACGCGTACATTTTTTAGACATTTTTTAAAGGCGTAACTTTTAAAACTTATCTAATACCTTGTACCGCGGATAACTACGAATTATTCTATTTTGCAAACTAGACAAGTTACCATTATGAATTTCCATTTATTCTCAAACTATAGATTATTCGTTATTCGTTGCGTGACTAGGCGCTATTTATTGTCTATTTTTATTTTACTCCTACGATAAATGCCAAGCGATAAGATCTAAATATAGATAAAATCCCGGCGCAATTAAGCTTATAATATTTTAATTCTATATGTTTTCTATTCGGCAATTCGATAATTTTTAACGCTGGGATCCTCACTTTACTACTATTGTTTTAGATATTTCGCAAAGCTAATGCAATTTACGCCACCCAATTTTAAATATAAGAAAATCTGTCGGGCTACTCGAGTTAAACTGTACAATCTTCTTCGTTTAATATATATTTTACCGGCAATATTACAATTCTGCTGGATTAATCGACGAATTTTTACAGCGCTTTAAAGTAATTTAGTCTAGAATTTTAAATACGATTTTACTTCTTTTTTTTAATGTTACAGACATAATTTGCGCGCTTCGACCGTTCAAATTCCTGGGTTAAGCGACAAAGACAATTTCCAGTTTAAAATGTTTAATAGTTTCCATTGTTACGATTACGTAACTTAAATATTTTAATAGTTTTAATATTTGAAACTGCGTCATAATCATAAATTTAAAGAGGAAAATTTTACTAGCCACGTTTTAAAAGCCGTAATAAATACGAGGCGCGTATTAAATTTTTAATTACTCGATTCCGAGAAATATAATTAAATTAAATTCCATAAATGCGTACGTAAGAAATAATCTTTAAATTAATAATTTTATAAAACGCGGATAAACTAATCCGCTATCGGCTTATCGATTTTACAATTCCAGACTTTTTTTTATTTGTTCAATGTTATCGGATAATTGGCAAGCCGCATCTAGTAAATAAGATTCGATAAAACTAATCTAGAAACGTTCGAGTCCAGGCGATAGCCGTCTTACCATCGTCGATATTCTTTAATCCCGTTAGTCGCCTTCTCCCGGTGTTATAGACCCGAGAAACCTCGCGCCAAACTGGTAATTAATAAGGGAATTTAAATATTTTCCGTTTAAAAATGTCATTCGGTACGTTTCCGTTAACGTTTTATCCCGTATTTTTTTATAAAATAAAAACGATTAACGGTAATTACCGCGCTAACCATCTCTCGGATGTTTTAGCATCTTGGTCTACCAGCTTTTAAGCCGTTTTGGGATATAAAAGTATTTATTATCCTCTTTCGTCGCTCCGTTTATAATAACGAAACTATTATTACGTAAGCCGGTAAAGGGGGTAAGTTTTTCCATGTCGTATTTGGTTGGTAAAACATTTCGACCGGGATCGTACTGTACCTACCTCCTTGGGGACCGATACGCCCGTCGATATAGTCGATGACTGCCAAGCGCGATAGATTTCCTCCGAGTAGCGTTAGAAGAGAGAAAATAAAATCGTACGGGAATTGCAAATTACAGTTTTATCTACCGGCGAAATTTATTATAGGTTAGAACGATGTATAAGCGAAAACATAACGGACGGATAAGTAAATGGTACAATTAGAAAGGAAACTTTTAAGAAGTTTTATTACTTTATTAAGGCGAGAATCGATGAATAAGCGGAAGAAAACAAATTTACTCGACGCTAATTATCTTATCGATATCTTTCTACCGGATTATCTAATTATTAGTTACTCTTTCGGTATAACTTTTAATAAACTCCGATATCGATTCCGTCCCGGTTAGCAGACGTTTCGTTAGCTTCGGAGAATGGCAGAAAAATCTTTAACCACGTTAGCGAAAAGGCATTTTTGATTAGTTTTAATTTCGACATTTGGTTTTTTTTCATTTCCTTTCAAAACAAATTAAGGAGGAAGTCTCCGAAGCTTCTCTTGGCCGATATAAAACGGGCCTATTAATTATTCTCTACGCGTTTTAATCCGTTTTCGAGTAATTAAGCGTCGAAATGGTCGGAAAACGAAAGTCTCGGCGGAATCTATCGTTTCGGAAAGAATTTATTAATTTTAACTGCCAGCTCCGGGCCAACGAATCGGTACGGGCTTTTTACGCTTTATTATTATTTTGTTTATATTATATTTATACGGCGATGCAAATCTTACCAGCCAATTGTTATTTTAAAAGCTTTAAAAAGAACTATTAACGCTTAGACAATAATTACGCAAACACGCGTTAATTAATACGCACTGGCGTAATTGCCCATCGCGTTTCTTCCGACTTTAATTACCATTTATTCGTATTTTATACGATAATTGACTGGAAAAATTTCCAGCGCGAGCGTTTTATCGATTCCTATTAAAACGATTGGCGCCTTCGATCTCGGTGCGGCAAAAATTGCGTGGTAATATCTCGTATAAAATGTTTCCCTTTATTCTTTCGGTTCCGCTTTTCGTATTTTTTAAATCTCGTATAATGACGTATCCGCTCGTCCGCCACTCTATTAAACTACTCCATCTAGTCATTTTTTAAACTAGTTTCGCCGCTATAAACCAGCGTAATTTATAATAAACTTTTTTCCATTTATATATAAAGTACTATTTTAAGATTTCGGTACGTATAGAATCCGGTTTAGACTATCGTCGCCGTCCGACATCTGCCGCGCAGATCGGAGGCTGGCTATCGACGAGACTTAAAATACTACGTTCGTACGCCCTCCATCTAAAAATATAAGTAATTTAATAAAACTGCGGTTTAATATTTAAAAAAATATAGAAATCCAGTCCGAATATCGGCCACCCAAAGGCCTTAAATAATTACGGTTTAAAGACCGCTATCGACCGTATCGGAGGAAACAATTTTACCACGTAAAATTACGTAAACAGTATAATTTATTACGTAGGCGTTACCTTTGTCCCGTAATAAATAAAACGAGGATAAAGATTAACTCTTTACCTCTCTTATCGGCGAATAACGCGTGTACCGTACTATAAATATTATTCGTAAGAAATTATTGAAGACGAATAAATTGCAAATTTTTCTATTTAATTTAATGGCAGAAATATATAAAAATCAATTGGCGGTTCGGACGAATTAACTTGTGGCGAAGACTCGAAAGAGATTGATGCGAGATATAGATTGCGCGCTCGACTATCGATGCCAGTCTACGTATTTGCCTTTATTATAACGAGGCGGAAGAAATTCGATACTTTTTAAACAAAGGCCAGTTAAATCGCTGTTTAAAACTAGAAAACAAGGTTCAAAGTCGCGCTATCGGATTTTCGTTAATTAAACGATAATATACTCGAATAACGTTATAACCAGGTCGATACGTTTGTACGGAGCCACGGTATCTAAGAAATCGCCATTATTTTCAGTTTTATACGAAAAATTTTTCTCTATTCGACGAATTAATAATCTATAATCTAATTTTTAATCGAAATATAATTTACAAATATCTACATTTTTTTAATAATCGAGATAATATAGATGTTATAACGGTTCGACGCTTAGTACTACCGTTAAAGTAATTTGTTTATTAAGTATTAAAATATGAATAAATTTAAAAATTCAATGTATATACGCGCGCGCGCACACACCTACGCAAAGACAACTTTCACGCATTTCGGAAGCGATTTAAATGCGTATAAATAATGAATAATGTTTTTAAAAAATAAATATCGAATATAAATCAATGCCATCTTCTTCTTACGTAACTAACATTTAGAACAGGAAGCGTCGGACTTTTTTTTATTAGACCAGCGTCGATATGAAAAAATACTAAGACCGTTGGCTTTTTTTTAAACTGAGCGACGAATAGCGGCCTTTAGCCACAACATTTTCTAAAATATATTAATTAATTAAGGTATTTTTCTCGAACCGTAAAAAGCGGACGCCTAACAAAATTACTACGGGTTTTAAGGAAAAAAAATCGGGTTAAGAAAGCGCGTAATTTAATTTAATATTATCATTAAAATATTGCGGCAACCGCCGAGCCTCATCAGCCTCGCAGGAAATTACTTTTTGTTACGAAACTCCGTTTATTTTCCCTGACACTGCATTTAAGTTCGTCCTACTCTATTGTATTTGTCATTTTATGCGCATCGTCATCTCGATGTTTCTTCCCGAATTAACGCGTAAACGAGACGTATCGCGAATGTAACGGGCGCTTTCTTTTACATGTATTTTAAATCGAAATATATTTCCCAACCACCCATCCGCGCGACCTTGTTATAAACGAACAATCGAGATAACGACGCACTCGGCCTTATTTTAACTTACGTCGTCGACGTCTCAATTTTACATTAGGAAACGATCGAATATATTTTCTATTGTTCTTCTTTCCTGCATATTTGCCCGTAATTTTAAACGTTAATCGCTCGAACGAATACCGCGCGGATAACATTCCTAACATGGCTTACGATGGAAGTAACTCGATTAGGCGATACCCGCCAAATGCTTAAACGAAACGTTATCCCAGAAACTGCGCTTCCAACACGTTCCATCTTTATAAGCAAAATCCACTATTTATAGTAGGCAGATGTGTCGCGTTCCATTATTTTTAATTAATTGACTAATAAGAATTTACATCTCGCGCGGTTTCGGTTATCTTTTCCAACGAGCTAGGAAAATTTTAATTAAAAAAATATATATATATTTATAATTATGTAAATGACGGAGATGGTGCTACCGATAGTTTGTTATCGCGTATTTATTTTCTTTAAAATAAAAAAAATAGGCTAAGATTGCCACTCCGGGCGAAAGATATAAAAGTAGTTCACCCGGTTTTACTCGAAAATGCGATTTAATGTAGGCCCTATAACTAGCTCGCGCTTTTTTTTATTTATTAGTTTATTATAAAGATTTTACTTAAATACTTTCGTTTAAATATTCTGCGATGGTTTTTGATATTTTATGCCAGAATTTATCCAGCGAAAATACTCTATTGTTATTTTTACTAGTGCCGTAACCTATTTTCGTGCCATTTATCAATTGCAAAATAAGGCGACTTGGCTAGTTTTAGCCATATTAGTAGAATGCCGGATTCAATTTATCGCAGATTTTATTTTCTTAATTGTTTCACAACGTTCCTTTATATAATCGACGTAGGATAATATCGCGCGATATAAAATGTGTCGTAAGTACAGTTAATGTCATTTTAAGAAGTACATTTGTACTCAGAAAAATAGTTTTCGCGCGTAAATTGTTTAGCGTAAAACCAATTTAACTTAGCTAATGTCGGAGGAAAGGGTGAAAAAATTATATAGGTAGATTATATATAGAATCGTCGTTTAGCTCGATGGTTAAAGTCACGCGGTGTATCGAAACGAGAACCGTTTTAAGCGTCAATAGTTAATGGTTGGCTTCAAAATCGGGTTATACTCGCAAATTTTAAGTGTATTCTAGTTAATCCGCATTCTTCGAGGCGCTTTTTTTCCGGCTAATTTACGAGTTCGAACCAAATGTACGGCAAAAAGAATTTCACGCTTTGACGAACGAGGTTAGGATGTAACTTTTTAGTAGGGTCGCGAGCGCGGCATCCGCATCCGGAGAAAGATTTAGTCGAAACACGAAAATCAAGTAGGACTACCGTCTAGGAATAGTGTAATTCTGCGAACGGCCGGCACACAATCGGCAATCAAGGTCGCGGTAAACCAGTTTGTACCGTACAGTACGTTTCCGCGTTATTCCGAGTCTCGTCGTCAGTTTCCGACGATAGAAATTTAAATAGAAATTGCTATAATCGATATTTAAAATTCGGAATGGATTTCGATCGATTACCTTTTCTCTCCGGTGGAAGTTTCGTAGGAACTTCTATAAAATCCAGCTAGTTGATCGTTTAGATTTCCGCGGAACTTCATAGAAATCGTGTACTTTTTGCCACTTTTTAACGGTCGATCTAATTTAATTATAAAAAACTGCCTTTTGTCGTCCCTGTCGAAATTTCTGATATCCGGCAAATCGCTTTCGCCTTCCAGTTTAACGGTGTCGTTACGTACCTCGATGTCATTGATGTGCAGAGTTATGTTATCGGTGTCTTCCAAACATTTAATATTTATAGAAACCTTTCCGTCGAAAGTAAAGTTGGGAGGAAATATGTAAGGTTTCAGTTCGACGACGTAGTGTTCCGGCACGATACTACGAGGAAGCATAACGTACAAGGAAGATGCATTATTAAGTTTCTCCGCTTTAGGATCTTCCAGTCTGTCGATGTAAGTCAAATCTCGGGGAGAATTTTCGGAACAGGGACCCAAATATCCGACTAGTAATCCGACGGCGACGGCGACACAAACCGCTAACAACGCTAACAATCCGATCACCCATCGTTCTATAAAACAACCTTTCCTCTGCTTAAAGCTCAGCCCCTTCGACGTACCTCTTTCGTTGTCCATGTCAAGTCTCTCTCTGCTGGACATGCGGCTCATTTTATAGCTGTCGTTTGTACGGTACTGTACGCGCCCCTACGTTTAGTCTGTTCTACAGATCGATGCGAGCTTTGTAAAACAAGTGTGACGTGACGTAATACCTGTAGAACTCGTTATTTCGCCTCACGTGACCGTCGATTTCTTTTATAAAAACCTTTATTTTTCGCCCGTGTTATTTTCTCGGATAATTGTCGGCGACTTATACGCGTCCCGACGGTCACAATGGCTAAAATTACTATTAGTTCGTCGACATCCGCCAATTAAAATGCTAATTAAATAAATAAAATTGTCGAGAGTGAAAGTTTTGTATTCTAAGAAATAATCCAAAGGTGGAAGACGATTTATAGATTACACGCCCAGTACATACGTACAGTACGTACGTACACATATCGGGCGTGTAATCTATAATATAATACGTACGTATATTTATATTATTACGGCGCTAAAAATGTATATATTTTTTAAAAGTAGTGGCGAATATATTTAAAATTTTTATACGTAATATAAGGAAGGATTTTTAAACAATTTAAAATTTAAAGTAAACATTTAGCGGTGGCGCGTAATTACGGGCAATTATATATAGGATCAAAATGGAAATAAATTCTAAATAAATCCGGTTACGGTATATTACGAAAGGTATAAAGTTTCTTGGCTATAATGCATAATATAAAATAGCTCTTTTGTATTTTTAAAAGGATTTTACGTTTAATTCCGCTCTCGGTTATAAAATAATTAAAACTTTCTACATTAACATACTAATGGTTTAAAATTGCATTTAATATACAGCGGCAGACATTTAATCGCGATTTTAAGTAGCAGAAATATTCTGTTTATTTTTCTATTTCGGAAACTCGCCAACTCTATTTAGTTTTTATTTTAAACATAACTGTAAAAATATTATCTTTACCGGAAATAGCCTATAAATATTCGAATTATACGGCTTTTACGTTTTGAAAAAATATATATTTTGACAATAAAAAGAATGGCCGGTTGGGAGGAAATATATTTAAAATTGCAGGAACAAGGGAATCGCGTTTCACCCCTTCGCGCTTCCATAATATTCTTTTATTACTCCGAATATCGAATTATATTTTAAAAAATTCTTAAGCAATTTTCTGGCCTTCGGAGAAGAAGAAGAAGATTGGCATTTTTCCGCCAGATCCCGATTTTTATAGGAAATCAAAACCCCGATCGATTATCGGTACTTCTTTTCCCCGCGTTAGAAAATATTTTCTTTGCCAAAATTACAGTAAATATTTCTTATTTTTACAATATAAATTGGCGTAGAATAATAACGCTCCGACTTTTCGATAAATATTTTGTAAATTCATAGTTTTTAACGAGAATTTAATATTTTCGCCAGGATTAAATTATTAATGCGTTTTAAATGAGTTACGCGTAGCATTTATATTCGGGCGTCGTTTCGCGTTCGTGCCATAAATCCCGACCAGCAATTTATCTTAATAACATTCATTAAATAAATAAACGATTAACTGTTTTTTTACCTGTACTTACTTTAATTAGAGCTTCTCGTACGAATATGTATTTTAAATATTTTAATTTTTTAAAGTTAAAATTTAAAGAATATTAAATCGTTTTAGAATGGCTTTCGCTTTAAATTTAAGCGCGGTAAAATTATTTTAGCGTGGTGATTTTTTATAAATCCAACGCTGGTGTCGCCATCTGGCGCTAATTATTGTAATTGCCAGATACTTTCCGGCGAAAAAACGATAATGGCGGAAATGAATTTTCGCCATTAAAATACGACATATCTTCTACTCTAATGGTAACATTAAAATTTATTGGAATATTAAGTAGAAAATATTCTAAGAATTGCGATCGAGTTGTTCCGCTAGAAATAAGTAGCGTCGTTTTACGTAGACAAATTAATATAAGCTGGATTGTTTCCTATTTATGTAGGTCCGCCACTCTCGGTCGGTGTTACGTTAATAATACCGAGAGAATCGGCTTGGGTCTGGTTTGCCAATTTAATAAATTGTCCTAAATATTCTTTCGTCTTGACCATTTCCGTTTCCGCTTCCGTTCTTTCAATAATTGCTTCTTTAAGACGCTGGGTCAAATTCGTCGTCCCACTTTCCATTCCGCGTAATTTACGTCTCAATTTGTTAACGCGACTTTCGTATCTCTCTTTTTGAAGATTTAATTTCGATCGCGATTCCAGTTCTTCCTCTTTTCTCCATTTCTGCACTCTTTCTTCCGTTTCTTTTCGTATTCTCCGCTCGGTTCGACAGAGTAATTTCTTTTTATATTCCGCGGACGTACGAATCTTATCTCGCAGCTTCTTTTCCAAGTCTCTGATAATTACGTACCACGTTAATATTTAGCCTTACCGTCCAAGCCATCCGTACTTACTTTTTGATTATTTCGTATCTTTCCTCGTTAATTTTTCTCTCTTCCTTTCGTATTTCTCCAATCGCCGTCTTTAAATGATACTCGAAATGTCCCGCGGCCTCTTCCATGGCGGCCCTTATCCGTCTTTCCGAAGATCGCTTTTCCTCTTCTACTCTAACTTCTAGTTCGTGTTTCGTGCCGATTTCAATTTTAATAACTTCTTGCTAAAAATAGAATTTATTCCAATAAATTTTGTACGCTTTACTTTTACAAAATTGGCGATCAAACTGGCTTATCTACTGGAAAGTTGGCGGTTGGTTCCTTTCCGTCCTCTGCCGTACTAAAATGAATTGTTTGAGTCGGGACTTACCTGTAACTTCTTCTTATGTTCCTTTTGCAGTCTTTTGACGTAATTATTATGTTCCCTCGTAAGTTTTTTAATAGCTTCGTCCGCGTCGTCGGTTTTCCATTTCTCGATTTCTTTCCGCAGTTCGGCCGATGTACTTTCTATTGTTTTACGACACTCGAGTTCTAAGATATCTAGAAATTCTCGATAAAGCCGTTCGGTTATATCTAATTAAATTATAAAATGTACGATAGAATCTGCTTATAAACATAAAATATAAGTAACTTTATACAGTAGAGCGTCGTTTATCCGAATCAATTGGGGACTGGGGTTGTTCGTATAACTTATTTTTCGGATAACCGATTATGTACGAAAAAATATATTAACCTATCCCGTGTTGAAATTTTTCTCCGTTGCGTGTCGCTTCGCGTTGAATTTTCGTCCATGTTAAGCCTAACGAAAACTTTTTAAAATAACAATCGTGGCTATTGTATCGTTAAAAACTATTTCTTTATTTTGTACAAACGAAATAAATATATTAAAAAATATAAAAACAATTAAAAAATTATACTTCAGAAGTTAATTCACTATCAAAACCGTAAAATATTTGAGTAGCCCGAGACAGAGCCAAAGATTGCAGCGCCACAGCACTAGCGAAAATTTAAACTTGCCCACTGGAATTCTTTCGGATAAACGACGCTCTACTGTATATGTAAATACAGCGTATACCTTTCAAATTATTTACATTTTCGTTATTTTTTATTATTTTCAGAATTCTGCCGCACTTCGTAATGTCCGTTGAAAATATATTTCTCGTATTTATATATTTTTTTGCTTCGCCGGTTTGCTTAGAATCCTGAAAAATTGATTAAAAACTTAATGATTTCTTCGAGTTCGTTTATTCGGCGAGACATTGCCACGAATAAAATATATTCAAGCTGATGCCAATTAGATGAACCGATCTGTCGGTTTTGGTTCGAATTTTTATGACTAATTTCAACCGATTCGTTTCCTAAATTTAAACCATTACGTATTGTAATGGATAAACTGAAATTATCAATTCCTATAGTTTTACAATATATATTACAAATTAGTCTAATTTAATTTAAGCGCAAATAGTTTGAAGTATTCGACGATACATTTCAAAAATTCGCAATTTAGAAATCTCATACAAAGCAATGCTATGTACAGACTGTGTCACGTACGCGTGTCTTTATTGCTATTGCAATAAATGTAAGGTTTGTTTCTGTAAGGTTTCACACACGAGGACTTTTACGCGTTGCGGTTTTGTCTTCGGGCTCAAAAAATAATAACGAGCAATTATTTATTGCGACACGGTCACAATGCCGGGCTGCGACTTTCAATCGTATTTTAAATTAAAAATATATGAGGCCTTTTTTTGCAAAAACAACGTACGTCAAAACTGGATAAAAATGTGTTTTTCGCTGTATCCGGCAACGCAAATTGCGAGCGACTGGTCCATAAAATATGATGCGATAACGTCAAATACCAACGGAGATATTCTACACGAAAGATTTTAGTTTTTACGAAAACAACACGCGCCAGCGGGTAATGTCGAGATTTATTCACTAAAACAGCAGACGTCCTCGAGAATTATTGTTTTTTGTGAGAAAGGTTGAATTACAAGATGGCCGACTGCGTCGAAAAGTATTCCGGAAGGCGGTAATCTCGACATCGTTTGAAGATGTTCGATATTGGTCGGTTTTGCGGCCCAGAAAGAAGAGGAAAGACGACGTTATTCGAGGGGCCGAATATCGCGGAATTAGCCAAACGCGCTACAAAAAGAAGGAAATAGAAAAGCGTATCGTGTCTCCCGATTGCGGGTATACAAGTATCAGCCATTTTTTGACTACCATTTGAAAAAATTGTAGACTTATAAATTCCCTGCGCATCCGTTGTCCGTCCTTCCTTAATCTCGAGAACGGAGCCGGATAGACAAAAGCCGAGGTCAAATATGGAAAGCTTGGGGAGGAAGTCAGGATTAACTACGTATGACCTTCCGAGTTTGGACCGGAAGTCACTTTACTTGGATTCGAAAGTCTTCTCCGAACCGAGTTAGATAGATTACCGTCGCCATTCGATCGCTCGCAGAAAACTACGATGTATAGGGGCGAGTCACTACTGATTCGAGGGGCAGAGTATATATTTTAAATTAAATATTAAATTGTTTATTTTTTTACTTTAAAATTCTTTATTGGAACAAATAATTCAATATTAATATGTATATAGTATTAAAATTGTACTTGGAATACAAAGTACTAATTAGCCATACTCGATAACTTAATATTTTATATTTCAACATTGCGTAACGTATTTTGCAATTGTATACTATATACAGCGAAGCGAACCACTAAATAAAAGCTGCGATACAGAGCGACGCTATCAAATTCGACAGTGACAGATTAGGTACAGTACGGAAGATTAGGACCCTCTACATAATTTTACATTATAAACTAATAATGCGTACAGAATTTCGAAGAGGAAATTTTTTCCAAATTTGGAACCCTCGATACGCGGCCCCTACGCGCGCGCTTCGCGCTAGGGAGCGATTGGCGGGGAAATTCGGAATACGCCGAGGGGAAAGACCTTCCGGGAAGTCTTTTATGGGAAACTGGCCTCTATTTAGGTGTTACTAACGACGGCCCGCGGCGACCAAATGTTTTTGTTCTCTAAACACCGGGAGTTCGGTCGCGGGTTGGCACCTGGCCGCGTGGAGTTTTCCGGGTGTTGTCCGCGTCCCTATTCGCTTTTCTTATATGAAAATCGTTCGGAAAACGTTGTATTAACAGATGCGTACATTGTATAATGTTTGAATATCAAAAACGAAGAATTGTTCTGTGAAAACGTTAATCGTGAGAGACGTTCCGCGGGTATGATTGTATTTAAAAACTGAATAGTCCCGGAACAGAATAATTTTAATATATTTTTACTAATTAAAAAAGTTTTATCGGCGATGCTTTTCGAGATTGGGGAGGGGTCATCCGTACACCCGCCGTCGCATCGCGCTACGGTACATTTACACACGCTTCTACATCACCGTACACCGCACCCCACGACTCGTATTTACATAAACGTGGCGATTAAATTCTACATTTTTGGTTACGTTTATCGGGTTTCGGGGCGAGGAGAATAGCGGGGATGACGACGCATATTTTAGGGATCATCCCTAAAACACCATTAAAACGCTTAGTCGACCAACGTACGTTCGCTCTCAAAGTTTTAGTTTTCTATCTTAACTTTTAAAAATAAGTTGTATTAAATTTTAACGTCTTATTTTTAACTTACGCGACATTTCTCGGTTTGATCTTCGTCGTCATCGATATTATCTCGATATGGGAATAATTCACAAATATCTGTTAAATTACAATCTTCAAATTCTATTAGAAAAAGAAAATGTTTCAAAATTTATTGAGGCCAAACTTAAAATTACAAATCAGACGGAAACTTAAAAAATTTAATAAATCTGCTTTTAATAAAATATCTTCGGAGTAGTTTCGTAACTAAAGCAACAGTTAAGACATCGGCCAAACTCTCTTCGGAGGATCCGGAATCGAATTCGGGCCAGCCACTCTCCACGAAAATTTTATGCCGGATATGTCGGGTTTTATCCCCGGTTTCCGGGTCGCCTGGCCGAATCCATAATTGGCATTAAAAAAAACGCCCCTTCGTGCCCACGGGTCGGAAGGAGTCGATCATTTTTATATATTATTTTAATATTAATTTAATCATTAATATAAATTCCGGAGATTTTTTAACTCTTCGCCCCGCGGGCACTAAAATTCCGAGTGCTCCGTTGCCATAGATGGATTTCTTAACTGCCTCGGCCATTCCCTTAATCGTTTAGAATATAAAACGGATCGTTTACTTTATAAAAAATGTTGCCTTTCGTTTTTACGAGTAAAGATATAAAAATAATCAGTGATGGAAATGAAAACTTCTTCGTGATTAAGTAAATGAACGTTTATTCTCATATATAACAAATAAATTTTCGTCAAAGCCGAATGGCCCAGCGGCTAAGGTAATAGCTTATCTCCGTGTCAAGCCGGTATCGGATCTAGGTGGGTCTTTTTTAGAAATTTTTGGGGGCTGATATGTCGAGTGTCGTCCCACAATGGGCTGGCTATAAAGTCCTTTTAGTGTCCGCGGAAAGGGGAAAAAGCCATCGAAATGGCCGAACGATGCGGGACCGAGCCCGTCATATCCGGAACAGATAGAATATAAAAAGATCCCGGAGTATTAGGTAATATTCTGGATATCGAACAGCTTCGAGTACGGTGTGATATGGACTTAACATTATATAAATCTATTAGGGTTGATCATAAAATAAGTAGATAAAAACAACTTTAATCGAAGTAAGTGCCGCATTTACCCCATCTTTCCACCGGGCAGCGGATGCCGCGCTGGAAGAAGCCGGTTCACCGCATTCGTCACTCGGCCGTCCGACCGAAATCGGCGCCCCTACGGCTCGATGGCCGAGCGGTCGAGGTAGCGGCCTACCGCTCTGGTGAACCCGGGATCGAATCCGTCACGGGTCGAAAAATCCCCAGGAATTTTTCGGGAATGGTCCGTCCGGATATATCGGACCCCGTCCCTCGCCACTCGGTCGCCCCATTGCGGACCTGGCCGAACCCATAATGGGCCCGCTTTAAGAGGCCCTCTTAGCGCCCACAAGGTGGAAAGACTAAAAAAAAAAAAAAAAAATGTGGAAAGCAATGTATGGTAAGGACACAAAGTGTGGGGTTCGTAAAACAGTTTTCCTAAGAATATTTCCAAACTTTTTCGAGCCACCACCCCTCGGTTCCATAAGGTTACCAAAAAGAACCCTCTTCGCGTCCGTAAGGCGGCGAGGGTTAAAAAATAATAAATTTTCATTACGAAAACTTTCGAAAATAAGATAATACAGTACAGGCAATGCAAAATTTCGGATAACTCGCGCTTTAGTATATTTTAAATACTCTTAAATCATCGGAATTAGTAATTTCCGCAACGATGCCCAAACTGCGGATGGCGGCTTTTCGAGAGCTTACTCGCGGCGTAACTAATAAATAAAAAATATTTGTTATTTTTTAAAATTTCATTACGAACATTACAAATTCATAAACCCCCAACTAGAAAAGAGTAAATTATAAAAAATGTAATAAATATGTATAAATTGTCAAAATAAATACATTACGATTGCGAAATGTTTTTTTAATTTTTATATCAAGAACGTTAGGTGAGGCTGCAGATATTTTCGGGTAGGTAACTAGGGCTCTTACACCCAAAAGTCTGGGCTCCCCCGCCGTAAGGTATCGTCGACCGAGAAAACAACTCGGTACTATTTGTTAATTTTGGTTTAGGTAATTAAAAAATCTTTTGCGAAAAATTATCTTTTGATAAAAGATTCGGCGTAAAAGAAACTAAAAGTTTCCTTCTGGAATAAAAATCTGTTTTTTCTTTTACCTTTCGCAATCGCTTCTCGTAATAAGAGGTCGTTCGAGCGTTACATCGGCAATACTTTTTCATCTCCTTTCCCCGTCATCGTTAATCGTTAGAAATCGAGGTAACTATCCCGTTAATCGTGTCATCGGACCAGAAGTTAAAATCATTGGCCAATTTCACGCAGTTGTATCCATTTATAATATCGCGTTTAATGAATATTCGTCGCGGCAGCCGCCAGCCGGCCACGAACTACCGGCGCCGCGCACCCGGACCGTAGAACTCGAAACGAGGATCGTCGGAATGCGAGTTCGTTTCGTACATCGACGCATTAAAAATATAAATTGTCGTCGGAATACGAAAGACGTCCGATATAAAAAACGCCATCTAAAAGCAACGCTATAATAATATCGCGGTTATCTCCACAAATTTTGTAATGACGGAGAAAAATAAATCAAAGTTAAAACCTTACGGTCGACAAAAACCCATCCTCTCCGCTTCCGTCGTCGGATACAAACGAATTCCTCTACCCTGTAAAATATTGACTAAATACGGTACTCCAATGGTTCCTAACATATAACTAGAGTAGAGCGTCGATTATCCGAATCGATTGGGGACTGGGGTTGTTCGGAAGATCGATGTTTCGGACAACCGATTATGTACGAAAAAATATATTAATTTATCCCATCTTGACATTTTTCTCCGTTGCGTGTCGCTTCGCTTTGAATTTTCGTCGATGTTGAGCCTAACGAAGACTATTGTATCGTTAAAAATTATTTTTTTATTTTGTACAAACAAATTAAATATATTGAAAAATATAAAANACGAAAAATTTTTCTCTATTCGACGAATTAATAATCTATAATCTAATTTTTAATCGAAATATAATTTACAAATATCTACATTTTTTTAATAATCGAGATAATATAGATGTTATAACGGTTCGACGCTTAGTACTACCGTTAAAGTAATTTGTTTATTAAGTATTAAAATATGAATAAATTTAAAAATTCAATGTATATACGCGCGCGCGCACACACCTACGCAAAGACAACTTTCACGCATTTCGGAAGCGATTTAAATGCGTATAAATAATGAATAATGTTTTTAAAAAATAAATATCGAATATAAATCAATGCCATCTTCTTCTTACGTAACTAACATTTAGAACAGGAAGCGTCGGACTTTTTTTTATTAGACCAGCGTCGATATGAAAAAATACTAAGACCGTTGGCTTTTTTTTAAACTGAGCGACGAATAGCGGCCTTTAGCCACAACATTTTCTAAAATATATTAATTAATTAAGGTATTTTTCTCGAACCGTAAAAAGCGGACGCCTAACAAAATTACTACGGGTTTTAAGGAAAAAAAATCGGGTTAAGAAAGCGCGTAATTTAATTTAATATTATCATTAAAATATTGCGGCAACCGCCGAGCCTCATCAGCCTCGCAGGAAATTACTTTTTGTTACGAAACTCCGTTTATTTTCCCTGACACTGCATTTAAGTTCGTCCTACTCTATTGTATTTGTCGTTTTATGCGCATCGTCATCTCGATGTTTCTTCCCGAATTAACGCGTAAACGAGACGTATCGCGAATGTAACGGGCGCTTTCTTTTACATGTATTTTAAATCGAAATATATTTCCCAACCACCCATCCGCGCGACCTTGTTATAAACGAACAATCGAGATAACGACGCACTCGGCCTTATTTTAACTTACGTCGTCGACGTCTCAATTTTACATTAGGAAACGATCGAATATATTTTCTATTGTTCTTCTTTCCTGCATATTTGCCCGTAATTTTAAACGTTAATCGCTCGAACGAATACCGCGCGGATAACATTCCTAACATGGCTTACGATGGAAGTAACTCGATTAGGCGATACCCGCCAAATGCTTAAACGAAACGTTATCCCAGAAACTGCGCTTCCAACACGTTCCATCTTTATAAGCAAAATCCACTATTTATAGTAGGCAGATGTGTCGCGTTCCATTATTTTTAATTAATTGACTAATAAGAATTTACATCTCGCGCGGTTTCGGTTATCTTTTCCAACGAGCTAGGAAAATTTTAATTAAAAAAATATATATATATTTATAATTATGTAAATGACGGAGATGGTGCTACCGATAGTTTGTTATCGCGTATTTATTTTCTTTAAAATAAAAAAAATAGGCTAAGATTGCCACTCCGGGCGAAAGATATAAAAGTAGTTCACCCGGTTTTACTCGAAAATGCGATTTAATGTAGGCCCTATAACTAGCTCGCGCTTTTTTTTATTTATTAGTTTATTATAAAGATTTTACTTAAATACTTTCGTTTAAATATTCTGCGATGGTTTTTGATATTTTATGCCAGAATTTATCCAGCGAAAATACTCTATTGTTATTTTTACTAGTGCCGTAACCTATTTTCGTGCCATTTATCAATTGCAAAATAAGGCGACTTGGCTAGTTTTAGCCATATTAGTAGAATGCCGGATTCAATTTATCGCAGATTTTATTTTCTTAATTGTTTCACAACGTTCCTTTATATAATCGACGTAGGATAATATCGCGCGATATAAAATGTGTCGTAAGTACAGTTAATGTCATTTTAAGAAGTACATTTGTACTCAGAAAAATAGTTTTCGCGCGTAAATTGTTTAGCGTAAAACCAATTTAACTTAGCTAATGTCGGAGGAAAGGGTGAAAAAATTATATAGGTAGATTATATATAGAATCGTCGTTTAGCTCGATGGTTAAAGTCACGCGGTGTATCGAAACGAGAACCGTTTTAAGCGTCAATAGTTAATGGTTGGCTTCAAAATCGGGTTATACTCGCAAATTTTAAGCGTATTCTTGTTAATCCGCATTCTTCGAGGCGCTTTTTTTCCGGCTAATTTACGAGTTCGAACCAAATGTACGGCAAAAAGAATTTCACGCTTTGACGAACGAGGTTAGGATGTAACTTTTTAGTAGGGTCGCGAGCGCGGCATCCGCATCCGGAGAAAGATTTAGTCGAAACACGAAAATCAAGTAGGACTACCGTCTAGGAATAGTGTAATTCTGCGAACGGCCGGCACACAATCGGCAATCAAGGTCGCGGTAAACCAGTTTGTACCGTACAGTACGTTTCCGCGTTATTCCGAGTCTCGTCGTTAGTTTCCGACGATAGAAATTTAAATAGAAATTGCTATAATCGATATTTAAAATTCGGAATGGATTTCGATCGATTACCTTTTCTCTCCGGCGGAAGTTTCGTAGGAACTTCTATAAAATCCAGCTAGTTGATCGTTTAGATTTCCGCGGAACTTCATAGAAATCGTGTACTTTTTGCCACTTTTTAACGGTCGATCTAATTTAATTATAAAAAACTGCCTTTTGTCGTCCCTGTCGAAATTTCTGATATCCGGCAAATCGCTTTCGCCTTCCAGTTTAACGGTGTCGTTACGTACCTCGATGTCATTGATGTGCAGAGTTATGTTATCGGTGTCTTCCAAACATTTAATATTTATAGAAACCTTTCCGTCGAAAGTAAAGTTGGGAGGAAATATGTAAGGTTTCAGTTCGACGACGTAGTGTTCCGGCACGATACTACGAGGAAGCATAACGTACAAGGAAGATGCATTATTAAGTTTCTCCGCTTTAGGATCTTCCAGTCTGTCGATGTAAGTCAAATCTCGGGGAGAATTTTCGGAACAGGGACCCAAATATCCGACTAGTAATCCGACGGCGACGGCGACACAAACCGCTAACAACGCTAACAATCCGATCACCCATCGTTCTATAAAACAACCTTTCCTCTGCTTAAAGCTCAGCCCCTTCGACGTACCTCTTTCGTTGTCCATGTCAAGTCTCTCTCTGCTGGACATGCGGCTCATTTTATAGCTGTCGTTTGTACGGTACTGTACGCGCCCCTACGTTTAGTCTGTTCTACAGATCGATGCGAGCTTTGTAAAACAAGTGTGACGTGACGTAATACCTGTAGAACTCGTTATTTCGCCTCACGTGACCGTCGATTTCTTTTATAAAAACCTTTATTTTTCGCCCGTGTTATTTTCTCGGATAATTGTCGGCGACTTATACGCGTCCCGACGGTCACAATGGCTAAAATTACTATTAGTTCGTCGACATCCGCCAATTAAAATGCTAATTAAATAAATAAAATTGTCGAGAGTGAAAGTTTTGTATTCTAAGAAATAATCCAAAGGTGGAAGACGATTTATAGATTACACGCCCAGTACATACGTACGTACGTACACATATCGGGCGTGTAATCTATAATATAATACGTACGTATATTTATATTATTACGGCGCTAAAAATGTATATATTTTTTAAAAGTAGTGGCGAATATATTTAAAATTTTTATACGTAATATAAGGAAGGATTTTTAAACAATTTAAAATTTAAAGTAAACATTTAGCGGTGGCGCGTAATTACGGGCAATTATATATAGGATCAAAATGGAAATAAATTCTAAATAAATCCGGTTACGGTATATTACGAAAGGTATAAAGTTTCTTGGCTATAATGCATAATATAAAATAGCTCTTTTGTATTTTTAAAAGGATTTTACGTTTAATTCCGCTCTCGGTTATAAAATAATTAAAACTTTCTACATTAACATACTAATGGTTTAAAATTGCATTTAATATACAGCGGCAGACATTTAATCGCGATTTTAAGTAGCAGAAATATTCTGTTTATTTTTCTATTTCGGAAACTCGCCAACTCTATTTAGTTTTTATTTTAAACATAACTGTAAAAATATTATCTTTACCGGAAATAGCCTATAAATATTCGAATTATACGGCTTTTACGTTTTGAAAAAATATATATTTTGACAATAAAAAGAATGGCCGGTTGGGAGGAAATATATTTAAAATTGCAGGAACAAAGGAATCGCGTTTCACCCCTTCGCGCTTCCATAATATTCTTTTATTACTCCGAATATCGAATTATATTTTAAAAAATTCTTAAGCAATTTTCTGGCCTTCGGAGAAGAAGAAGATTGGCATTTTTCCGCCAGATCCCGATTTTTATAGGAAATCAAAACCCCGATCGATTATCGGTACTTCTTTTCCCCGCGTTAGAAAATATTTTCTTTGCCAAAATTACAGTAAATATTTCTTATTTTTACAATATAAATTGGCGTAGAATAATAACGCTCCGACTTTTCGATAAATATTTTGTAAATTCATAGTTTTTAACGAGAATTTAATATTTTCGCCAGGATTAAATTATTAATGCGTTTTAAATGAGTTACGCGTAGCATTTATATTCGGGCGTCGTTTCGCGTTCGTGCCGTAAATCCCGACCAGCAATTTATCTTAATAACATTCATTAAATAAATAAACGATTAACTGTTTTTTTACCTGTACTTACTTTAATTAGAGCTTCTCGTACGAATATGTATTTTAAATATTTTAATTTTTTAAAGTTAAAATTTAAAGAATATTAAATCGTTTTAGAATGGCTTTCGCTTTAAATTTAAGCGCGGTAAAATTATTTTAGCGTGGTGATTTTTTATAAATCCAACGCTGGTGTCGCCATCTGGCGCTAATTATTGTAATTGCCAGATACTTTCCGGCGAAAAAACGATAATGGCGGAAATGAATTTTCGCCATTAAAATACGACATATCTTCTACTCTAATGGTAACATTAAAATTTATTGGAATATTAAGTAGAAAATATTCTAAGAATTGCGATCGAGTTGTTCCGCTAGAAATAAGTAGCGTCGTTTTACGTAGACAAATTAATATAAGCTGGATTGTTTCCTATTTATGTAGGTCCGCCACTCTCGGTCGGTGTTACGTTAATAATACCGAGAGAATCGGCTTGGGTCTGGTTTGCCAATTTAATAAATTGTCCTAAATATTCTTTCGTCTTGACCATTTCCGTTTCCGCTTCCGTTCTTTCAATAATTGCTTCTTTAAGACGCTGGGTCAAATTCGTCGTCCCACTTTCCATTCCGCGTAATTTACGTCTCAATTTGTTAACGCGACTTTCGTATCTCTCTTTTTGAAGATTTAATTTCGATCGCGATTCCAGTTCTTCCTCTTTTCTCCATTTCTGCACTCTTTCTTCCGTTTCTTTTCGTATTCTCCGCTCGGTTCGACAGAGTAATTTCTTTTTATATTCCGCGGACGTACGAATCTTATCTCGCAGCTTCTTTTCCAAGTCTCTGATAATTACGTACCACGTTAATATTTAGCCTTACCGTCCAAGCCATCCGTACTTACTTTTTGATTATTTCGTATCTTTCCTCGTTAATTTTTCTCTCTTCCTTTCGTATTTCTCCAATCGCCGTCTTTAAATGATACTCGAAATGTCCCGCGGCCTCTTCCATGGCGGCCCTTATCCGTCTTTCCGAAGATCGCTTTTCCTCTTCTACTCTAACTTCTAGTTCGTGTTTCGTGCCGATTTCAATTTTAATAACTTCTTGCTAAAAATAGAATTTATTCCAATAAATTTTGTACGCTTTACTTTTACAAAATTGGCGATCAAACTGGCTTATCTACTGGAAAGTTGGCGGTTCGGTTCCTTTCCGTCCTCTGCCGTACTAAAATGAATTGTTTGAGTCGGGACTTACCTGTAACTTCTTCTTATGTTCCTTTTGCAGTCTTTTGACGTAATTATTATGTTCCCTCGTAAGTTTTTTAATAGCTTCGTCCGCGTCGTCGGTTTTCCATTTCTCGATTTCTTTCCGCAGTTCGGCCGATGTACTTTCTATTGTTTTACGACACTCGAGTTCTAAGATATCTAGAAATTCTCGATAAAGCCGTTCGGTTATATCTAATTAAATTATAAAATGTACGATAGAATCTGCTTATAAACATAAAATATAAGTAACTTTATACAGTAGAGCGTCGTTTATCCGAATCAATTGGGGACTGGGGTTGTTCGTATAACTTATTTTTCGGATAACCGATTATGTACGAAAAAATATATTAACCTATCCCGTGTTGAAATTTTTCTCCGTTGCGTGTCGCTTCGCGTTGAATTTTCGTCCATGTTAAGCCTAACGAAAACTTTTTAAAATAACAATCGTGGCTATTGTATCGTTAAAAACTATTTCTTTATTTTGTACAAACGAAATAAATATATTAAAAAATATAAAAACAATTAAAAAATTATACTTCAGAAGTTAATTCACTATCAAAACCGTAAAATATTTGAGTAGCCCGAGACAGAGCCAAAGATTGCAGCGCCACAGCACTAGCGAAAATTTAAACTTGCCCACTGGAATTCTTTCGGATAAACGACGCTCTACTGTATATGTAAATACAGCGTATACCTTTCAAATTATTTACATTTTCGTTATTTTTTATTATTTTCAGAATTCTGCCGCACTTCGTAATGTCCGTTGAAAATATATTTCTCGTATTTATATATTTTTTTGCTTCGCCGGTTTGCTTAGAATCCTGAAAAATTGATTAAAAACTTAATGATTTCTTCGAGTTCGTTTATTCGGCGAGACATTGCCACGAATAAAATATATTCAAGCTGATGCCAATTAGATGAACCGATCTGTCGGTTTTGGTTCGAATTTTTATGACTAATTTCAACCGATTCGTTTCCTAAATTTAAACCATTACGTATTGTAATGGATAAACTGAAATTATCAATTCCTATAGTTTTACAATATATATTACAAATTAGTCTAATTTAATTTAAGCGCAAATAGTTTGAAGTATTCGACGATACATTTCAAAAATTCGCAATTTAGAAATCTCATACAAAGCAATGCTATGTACAGACTGTGTCACGTACGCGTGTCTTTATTGCTATCGCAATAAATGTAAGGTTTGTTTCTGTAAGGTTTCACACACGAGGACTTTTACGCGTTGCGGTTTTGTCTTCGGGCTCAAAAAATAATAACGAGCAATTATTTATTGCGACACGGTCACAATGCCGGGCTGCGACTTTCAATCGTATTTTAAATTAAAAATATATGAGGCCTTTTTTTGCAAAAACAACGTACGTCAAAACTGGATAAAAATGTGTTTTTCGCTGTATCCGGCAACGCAAATTGCGAGCGACTGGTCCATAAAATATGATGCGATAACGTCAAATACAACGGAGATATTCTACACGAAAGATTTTAGTTTTTACGAAAACAACACGCGCCAGCGGGTAATGTCGAGATTTATTCACTAAAACAGCAGACGTCCTCGAGAATTATTGTTTTTTGTGAGAAAGGTTGAATTACAAGATGGCCGACTGCGTCGAAAAGTATTCCGGAAGGCGGTAATCTCGACATCGTTTGAAGATGTTCGATATTGGTCGGTTTTGCGGCCCAGAAAGAAGAGGAAAGACGACGTTATTCGAGGGGCCGAATATCGCGGAATTAGCCAAACGCGCTACAAAAAGAAGGAAATAGAAAAGCGTATCGTGTCTCCCGATTGCGGGTATACAAGTATCAGCCATTTTTTGACTACCATTTGAAAAAATTGTAGACTTATAAATTCCCTGCGCATCCGTTGTCCGTCCTTCCTTAATCTCGAGAACGGAGCCGGATAGACAAAAGCCGAGGTCAAATATGGAAAGCTTGGGGAGGAAGTCAGGATTAACTACGTATGACCTTCCGAGTTTGGACCGGAAGTCACTTTACTTGGATTCGAAAGTCTTCTCCGAACCGAGTTAGATAGATTACCGTCGCCATTCGATCGCTCGCAGAAAACTACGATGTATAGGGGCGAGTCACTACTGATTCGAGGGGCAGAGTATATATTTTAAATTAAATATTAAATTGTTTATTTTTTTACTTTAAAATTCTTTATTGGGACAAATAATTCAATATTAATATGTATATAGTATTAAAATTGTACTTGGAATACAAAGTACTAATTAGCCATACTCGATAACTTAATATTTTATATTTCAACATTGCGTAACGTATTTTGCAATTGTATACTATATACAGCGAAGCGAACCACTAAATAAAAGCTGCGATACAGAGCGACGCTATCAAATTCGACAGTGACAGATTAGGTACAGTACGGAAGATTAGGACCCTCTACATAATTTTACATTATAAACTAATAATGCGTACAGAATTTCGAAGAGGAAATTTTTTCCAAATTTGGAACCCTCGATACGCGGCCCCTACGCGCGCGCTTCGCGCTAGGGAGCGATTGGCGGGGAAATTCGGAATACGCCGAGGGGAAAGACCTTCCGGGAAGTCTTTTATGGGAAACTGGCCTCTATTTAGGTGTTACTAACGACGGCCCGCGGCGACCAAATGTTTTTGTTCTCTAAACACCGGGAGTTCGGTCGCGGGTTGGCACCTGGCCGCGTGGAGTTTTCCGGGTGTTGTCCGCGTCCCTATTCGCTTTTCTTATATGAAAATCGTTCGGAAAACGTTGTATTAACAGATGCGTACATTGTATAATGTTTGAATATCAAAAACGAAGAATTGTTCTGTGAAAACGTTAATCGTGAGAGACGTTCCGCGGGTATGATTGTATTTAAAAACTGAATAGTCCCGGAACAGAATAATTTTAATATATTTTTACTAATTAAAAAAGTTTTATCGGCGATGCTTTTCGAGATTGGGGAGGGGTCATCCGTACACCCGCCGTCGCATCGCGCTACGGTACATTTACACACGCTTCTACATCACCGTACACCGCACCCCACGACTCGTATTTACATAAACGTGGCGATTAAATTCTACATTTTTGGTTACGTTTATCGGGTTTCGGGGCGAGGAGAATAGCGGGGATGACGACGCATATTTTAGGGATCATCCCTAAAACACCATTAAAACGCTTAGTCGACCAACGTACGTTCGCTCTCAAAGTTTTAGTTTTCTATCTTAACTTTTAAAAATAAGTTGTATTAAATTTTAACGTCTTATTTTTAACTTACGCGACATTTCTCGGTTTGATCTTCGTCGTCATCGATATTATCTCGATATGGGAATAATTCACAAATATCTGTTAAATTACAATCTTCAAATTCTATTAGAAAAAGAAAATGTTTCAAAATTTATTGAGGCCAAACTTAAAATTACAAATCAGACGGAAACTTAAAAAATTTAATAAATCTGCTTTTAATAAAATATCTTCGGAGTAGTTTCGTAACTAAAGCAACAGTTAAGACATCGGCCAAACTCTCTTCGGAGGATCCGGAATCGAATTCGGGCCAGCCACTCTCCACGAAAATTTTATGCCGGATATGTCGGGTTTTATCCCCGGTTTCCGGGTCGCCTGGCCGAATCCATAATTGGCATTAAAAAAAACGCCCCTTCGTGCCCACGGGTCGGAAGGAGTCGATCATTTTTATATATTATTTTAATATTAATTTAATCATTAATATAAATTCCGGAGATTTTTTAACTCTTCGCCCCGCGGGCACTAAAATTCCGAGTGCTCCGTTGCCATAGATGGATTTCTTAACTGCCTCGGCCATTCCCTTAATCGTTTAGAATATAAAACGGATCGTTTACTTTATAAAAAATGTTGCCTTTCGTTTTTACGAGTAAAGATATAAAAATAATCAGTGATGGAAATGAAAACTTCTTCGTGATTAAGTAAATGAACGTTTATTCTCATATATAACAAATAAATTTTCGTCAAAGCCGAATGGCCCAGCGGCTAAGGTAATAGCTTATCTCCGTGTCAAGCCGGTATCGGATCTAGGTGGGTCTTTTTTAGAAATTTTTGGGGGCTGATATGTCGAGTGTCGTCCCACAATGGGCTGGCTATAAAGTCCTTTTAGTGTCCGCGGAAAGGGGAAAAAGCCATCGAAATGGCCGAACGATGCGGGACCGAGCCCGTCATATCCGGAACAGATAGAATATAAAAAGATCCCGGAGTATTAGGTAATATTCTGGATATCGAACAGCTTCGAGTACGGTGTGATATGGACTTAACATTATATAAATCTATTAGGGTTGATCATAAAATAAGTAGATAAAAACAACTTTAATCGAAGTAAGTGCCGCATTTACCCCATCTTTCCACCGGGCAGCGGATGCCGCGCTGGAAGAAGCCGGTTCACCGCATTCGTCACTCGGCCGTCCGACCGAAATCGGCGCCCCTACGGCTCGATGGCCGAGCGGTCGAGGTAGCGGCCTACCGCTCTGGTGAACCCGGGATCGAATCCGTCACGGGTCGAAAAATCCCCAGGAATTTTTCGGGAATGGTCCGTCCGGATATATCGGACCCCGTCCCTCGCCACTCGGTCGCCCCATTGCGGACCTGGCCGAACCCATAATGGGCCCGCTTTAAGAGGCCCTCTTAGCGCCCACAAGGTGGAAAGACTAAAAAAAAAAAAAAAAAATGTGGAAAGCAATGTATGGTAAGGACACAAAGTGTGGGGTTCGTAAAACAGTTTTCCTAAGAATATTTCCAAACTTTTTCGAGCCACCACCCCTCGGTTCCATAAGGTTACCAAAAAGAACCCTCTTCGCGTCCGTAAGGCGGCGAGGGTTAAAAAATAATAAATTTTCATTACGAAAACTTTCGAAAATAAGATAATACAGTACAGGCAATGCAAAATTTCGGATAACTCGCGCTTTAGTATATTTTAAATACTCTTAAATCATCGGAATTAGTAATTTCCGCAACGATGCCCAAACTGCGGATGGCGGCTTTTCGAGAGCTTACTCGCGGCGTAACTAATAAATAAAAAATATTTGTTATTTTTTAAAATTTCATTACGAACATTACAAATTCATAAACCCCCAACTAGAAAAGAGTAAATTATAAAAAATGTAATAAATATGTATAAATTGTCAAAATAAATACATTACGATTGCGAAATGTTTTTTTAATTTTTATATCAAGAACGTTAGGTGAGGCTCCAGATATTTTCGGGTAGGTAACTAGGGCTCTTACACCCAAAAGTCTGGGCTCCCCCGCCGTAAGGTATCGTCGACCGAGAAAACAACTCGGTACTATTTGTTAATTTTGGTTTAGGTAATTAAAAAATCTTTTGCGAAAAATTATCTTTTGATAAAAGATTCGGCGTAAAAGAAACTAAAAGTTTCCTTCTGGAATAAAAATCTGTTTTTTCTTTTACCTTTCGCAATCGCTCGAACGACCCTTCTCGTAATAAGAGCGTTACATCGGCAATACTTTTTCATCTCCTTTCCCCGTCATCGTTAATCGTTAGAAATCGAGGTAACTATCCCGTTAATCGTGTCATCGGACCAGAAGTTAAAATCATTGGCCAATTTCACGCAGTTGTATCCATTTATAATATCGCGTTTAATGAATATTCGTCGCGGCAGCCGCCAGCCGGCCACGAACTACCGGCGCCGCGCACCCGGACCGTAGAACTCGAAACGAGGATCGTCGGAATGCGAGTTCGTTTCGTACATCGACGCATTAAAAATATAAATTGTCGTCGGAATACGAAAGACGTCCGATATAAAAAACGCCATCTAAAAGCAACGCTATAATAATATCGCGGTTATCTCCACAAATTTTGTAATGACGGAGAAAAATAAATCAAAGTTAAAACCTTACGGTCGACAAAAACCCATCCTCTCCGCTTCCGTCGTCGGATACAAACGAATTCCTCTACCCTGTAAAATATTGACTAAATACGGTACTCCAATGGTTCCTAACATATAACTAGAGTAGAGCGTCGATTATCCGAATCGATTGGGGACTGGGGTTGTTCGGAAGATCGATGTTTCGGACAACCGATTATGTACGAAAAAATATATTAATTTATCCCATCTTGACATTTTTCTCCGTTGCGTGTCGCTTCGCTTTGAATTTTCGTCGATGTTGAGCCTAACGAAGACTATTGTATCGTTAAAAATTATTTTTTTATTTTGTACAAACAAATTAAATATATTGAAAAATATAAAAACAATAAAAAATTATACTTCAGAAGTTAATTTAGTATGAAAAACGTAAAATATTTGAGTAGCCCGAGACGTAGCCAAAGATTGCGGCGCCACAGCACCGGCGAAAATTTAAATTTGCCGACTGGGATTCTTTCGGATAATCGACGCTCTACTGTATATTGTTCGACTTTCGTACACGCTTTTAGGTACGCATCTAAAAGTCGGAGATTGCTCGTACTCTCACCGTCGAAGGCCGAAGGTTTGTAAAGGCCCGAGTCCGCCATTCCGTTGGAATCCGGGTGGAAAACTCGAAGAATTTTTCGGGGCCGTATATTCCTAATATTTCGGGCTACGTTCGGCCAAACCACCGCGTCGGTCTCCGTAACGTACGTCGCTCGGCCCGTTACGGCTCACCGTCCGTAGCGGGCAAAGTAATGTCCGTTACGGATTTGGGAAGAAAAGTCTTCTTAATTAATAAACGCGGAGCGGAAAGAGCTAAAAAATATCTCGCTTTCCCAAAAATTCGGTAATTAATTAATTAATTAATTAATAATATTTTTAAAAGTGTGTTTTACTACGCATTACCTGCATCCGTTTCCATTTCTTTTTGTACGATATATTCTTAAAAGCGCTTACAACGCGGACAAATATCTTTCTATAGTATTGTCCAAATCATTTAATCCATTGTTATCGGTATTTCGCTAACAATTTAATTATCGACGACGTTGGCTAAGTAACGCGACAATTAAAATTTACGTACATTTAAAACGATTACTTTTAAATTATTTACTTATAGTTTTAATTATTTATTAGTAACTGTAATGGATTAATAGAAATCCATTAGTATCCATTAGTATACGCTGGTCGAGAAAAAAGTACGGGGCGAGAAGGAGAGGTTGGTACGGAATTAAACTTCATTAGCGCCAACTTAACCACCGGACAAATTCCTATTTCGAGAACGGCGCTAATGCGCTCGTATTTCTGTAAACGTTAGCGGGCCTTTTTAATATCCCTCGGAATTTAGTAGCCGCGCGCTCGTCTACGGGCGCGGCTCCGATTTTAAGCGCTTTTCTCGATTATGAAATTAGAGACGATATCCGCAATAAGAAATTTGGCTCCGTTTCAATTTCTCGTTACCTGGCGGACGCCAGACATTTTTATTTTTGAAATTAGTTATTAATTTATATAATTAATTTAAATTAATTCAGATAATAACGTTTACTACCATTTAAAAATTTTATTTTTAAAGTATATTTTTTGAAATGTCCGAGAAGTTTCGGTGACGAGAGTAGCCGCCGGTCGAGTGACGTGGTTTAGCGGATGGGAGAAAGACTCGATTTATATTCTTTGGGTTTATCGTAATTTATCGAAGAAATCAAACATGTTGGACTTTTTAGACGATGTCAGACGGATGAACAAGCGACAAGTAAGTAATGTTTCCGCAGAAAAGTCGCGTGTCATATTTTATGTACACGTCGATTGCCAACGTGTTATTCTGCAGAATGTAAACCATCTTGTTCCTTTCCAGATTGATGTGTGACACGCTCGTGTTCGTGTGAAAAAATTGGCATTAACGGCCCGTGATAAGCGGCCGAACCTCTTATTTTACCGAATATTAAATTATAATCTTGTCCGATTCTTCCTTACCAATCGGACGAGATTGAAATTCCAATCAAATCCCGTTTCGTTTTCGTCTATTAGTAATTCGTTCGCCTCGCTTTTATACCGGGCATTAACGTACCTTACGCGCTATCGAATTCTGAAAATAATAATACAATTTCGTCAGGTTCTTAAGAAATTTTCATTAATTTCCTGAATTAAAGCCCATTCGTTTCTTATAACGGCAATAAATTACTTTTTACACCAAAACTAGTGGACCCGGCCGCGCGTTGCTGCGGCTCGAAATGTATCTGTTATAAATGTATAACACCTCCCCCCGCGGGGAGGAATTTCGAAAAATCCGTTCTTAGTGTACGTTCTCTCGACGTACCCTATTAAAACGCGATCAAAAACGCAAAAAAACCTCATCTAAAATAGTATAATAGAAGCCGAGTTCTTTACGGTAAACCTTAATCCCGTCCCTCTTCCCCCGCGGGGGAATTTCGACATTTAAATTATATAAAAACGAGCGCGAATTCGAATGCGACGTCGCGTCGAAATTTCCGAGCGATCGGTGAATAACTTTCGGAGATTAGCTATTAGGAACAAACGAACGTTACGTTTTTATTTATATAGATTATATTTGAAAGTGAGTTTACGTGTATATATTTTGATACGTATTCCTCTGTCTCGCGTTTAACGATAGAAATCGCCGTGTTTTAAATCCGTCTTCTGCCCGCCGGCGGCCGAGCGGTCTTCGTTTCCCGCGCCGGGAATTCGGCCGCGCGGCGTCTTCCGAGTTTTCTCCGCCCTCGCCGCGCTCGAACGGGGGCCGGTTTTCCTCGGAGAGACCTCCCGGAAGGCGTCTCCCCGGGCGGATCGCCCGTGGCCTTGCCGTAACTAAACGATCGAACGGATAAGTTTGTGTTCTCGGTCTTTGTACTCTCCGAATTGCAAAAACTTAAATATTCGGAGCGGGGGACGCTTGGCTTTCTTTCGGCGAGATTCCCGACGGACGTAGAAGGGGAATCGGGCGGTATTTAGATTTGATCTTTCCGTACGGCCGTCCGTAAATTTTCGCTCGACGGTCGACTCCTCTTCTTTCGTCCGTCTCGGGGGTCGAGTCCTCCGTCGGTGGGGTCCGGCCGCTCGTCTCCGTCTCTCGTTTGTGCCGCAGAAAGTAAAGCTTTGTAATTTAGAAGGGTGCGTTGCGTGACTTCTTTGCGACCGTATTATTCCCGTTTTCTTTTTGTCGAATTTTAATTCTCGCCTTCGAGTCTTCCTCGGGCGAGAAGTGTGCCGCGCAAATGCGTAAACCTCCGCTCTCGGACCGGATCGTCGGGCCCCGGAGACGCGGCGGCGTGACTGCCCGCTCCGGTCGAATTATTTATTATTTAATCGGTTACGTGGCCGTATTGCGGCGCGATAATTTGGCAGTCGTTTGACTTTACGCCGTGCAGAATGCTAAGCGGGTTAGATGCGTTTTCGTGGTCCGTCCGATCTTTGCGCGACGTGAACGTAAACGTCCGTTCGAAGGTAAAGAGTCGAGAGTTAAACTAAAATCGAACGTAACGAAATCGTGTGGCGTCTTTCGGAATTACGATTACGAGTGCTCGAATTACCGTCAAAAACTAATTTATAAAATAAAAACAATGACAATAACTTAATTTTTCAAATTTAAGTTCAAATTTTTGTGTAATTATTTCGTAAATANCCAGGTTAGATTTTTGCTGTGAGAATTAGGCAAAATTTTCACTCAACATAAAGAGTAATATTTATAAATTATTTTAAATTCTTTTCAGTCTACATGAATTTAAAATATTTTTTTGCTTATCTGTCAAGAGTTTGACCAAATGTTAAGGAATGGAATTTGACATATTTAAGTCAAACCAGTCAGGAAAATTATTGTAGAAGATTGATGCATTTATTGTCCTGATTAGCTAGCCATCTAGCTAGTGATAGTAAATAAACAAGCTACCTTTTTTACTTTATGGCAATCTGGAAAAAAATGACCTCCCAGAATTTTACATTTTTGGGCTCAGGACACCTTGAAACATTGAGAAATGCAAAACAATTCAGGGGTAATTTCTGTATGTATGGATGTTAGTGTGTGAGGGGTGCACGATTTTGTTCACCATGTTTGAAGCTTAATACTCCTGTGCTTTTTGTTGAAAATTTTTGAAATTTTGCATGGAGGTTTGTTTATTAGGGGGTTTATGCTATTAAATTTTGATGATTAAAGGTCGAAGGAATGGGGAGATAGTAAGGATTGTGTGTATCTCCAGTAGGGTCGGACTTAATGATGATTTTACTCGTTATTAGCATTTAACTATTATAAAATGGCAAAAGGCTTACATAACTGATTTAAAATATAGTATAAAATATAAAGTATAAAAAATTTTAAAACACGCAAGACACAAAGATGTAGTTTCTATCTTTGTGGCCTTGTGCCAAACTTTGGTGATAGTATTCGTCGTCTCCCAAGTGTCGTTTTTATGCAATATCTGGAGAGACTGCTGTAAGGCTGAAAGAAGGATATCAACATCTCAGAAGTACATGTTTATGAAGAGTTCTTTAATATTTGGGAGTAGGTCTATTTTATTTGTTTACATGGCCAATCTGCTGAGGGGAATGTTCTGGGAAGATTTTCTATGGCCCGTATTTAGGTGTTACTTAGGTGAAGAAAACCCAGAAAACTGTGGCCAGCCCATTGTCCAGGGTGAACCCCCAACCAACTACCAGTGTTCGGTGGTTTTATCTACTCGGCCATTGGTGGACGGAAAGAAGGTCAAAATCACGCGAACTTATGTCGGGTGAATATGGTGGATGTGATATTATCTCCCACTACCATCTGCTTAAAAATGTCTTTACTTGTGACAAAGAATGGCTACATGCATTGTCTTGCAAGACAATTGGATATGATTGTAGCACAGTGGTCTTATGGTAAACATTGAAGTTACAGTGTCTATTTGGCACTCATTTCTTGGCAAGTCCATTGATAGTCATTCTCTAATAATATCAAAATAGCTTCCATATGTTGTTTGTCTATTGTAGTGATTGGATGGCCACCATTTTGCTTATTCTTGGTATTCTCCTGTCTGTGGCAAAATGCTTCAACTCATTATGCAGCAGTATCATATGCCAGTGGAGCATTGCCATGTGTCTCATGCAAATCTTTATAACACTATCGTGCATTTTGTCCATATGCAACTTGAATTTGGATATGAAATCTTGTTGGTGAGTAAACATTGCTTAGAGTGACAAAAATGAACACTTTAATATTTGACATTCTCTTATTTCTTAGCCACAGATATAAGCACAACAAAAAATGCACCAACATGTACACAAGCTACACAAGCAGTCTAGAAAAAATATTTGTCAAGATTTTGGCAGTTTGACAGGTTATGGACAATTACCAATGATGTTGCCAGTTAAAAAAATAGTCCTTGTAGTTTTGATCAATGCAAGTGCATTTTAATTAAAAGTAAAAATTACAAATTTATTTTTTTACTAATTTAATGCTTTGAAAGTTTTTTATATTTTTATCAATTTGTTATTTAAGCTTATGTAGAAATGTTTTAGAAATGCCCTGATAAAATTTACAAAATAACTGTATAATAATGAATTTCCATTACATAGTATCATTATATAATAAAAAATGAAATTTAAAGCCATTTAAATTATGAGCTTATGTTTTAGTCCCTTCATTCAATAAAAGGAAAGATAAAATATTGCTTTATTAAAAAATGGAATTAAAATTGATTTTACTTTCATTTTACACCAAATTCTTGATTATTCATGCTAATTAATGCATGGATTTGTCCAAAAAAAAATAGGATAATCCAAAATTGCCTCCCAAACTAAAAAAAAAAAAACTGTTCAGAGGTTTTATATGATGTTATATGACAGCTCAACTCCATTATAGCACAATGCAAGTGTGAGTCCCAAGTTTCATAATCTGAAATATATATTTATTTAATAAACATAGAAGAAATCTACATTTTATTTTCAAAAATATCACAGAAATTTAAATTTTACATTTCTATGTATAGTTCATACATTTTTTCAAAATTACTGTATTTTAATTTTGGAGCTAGTAGGATATTTTTTCAACTCTGCTGTTTACAGCATGTAAATATGATTTTTTTTATTTGAGGGTATTCTATCAAAGAGCAGAATGTTGCCTATAATATTTTGTCATTTTACAGTAATTCTAATTGTTTTTTCTTCACTACTAGGTGTATTAATAGACACAAGGCATTTTTACATCATTTTTATTCTGAATCTTCTATAGGCCAATATGCGTTTTGGGCAAAGGCCCCTCATCTGTTGGCATGACATCCAGGGTTTTCTTTGTGTTGTGTTGATACTTATACATTTCGTTTAAAATTATGTATTTACAGTTAAAACTGTTAAAATACATTGCAGTTTAAAATATATTGATGATTTAAATTTCTATTACAGTCGACCCCCCTATAACGTACGTTCCTATAACGTACGTTCCTATAACGACAATTCCTATAACGTAGCGAAAAAATTGTAGCAACTTTCGTATAACGTACCTCCTATAACGTCGTTTCGCGACAAGATTGATAGAGTCTGGACCAATAGTGGATGAGCAGCCGAACTACTTTCCTCCGACCCTGCGCCACGCTACGGAGCGGCTAAATTGAGTTTGCTATCGTCTGTTTAGTATTATATATAAATTATATATAAATTAGGTACTGTATATATAATTATATATTAACTTAATTTATTGTAACTTTATTATAATTATATATATGCTTTCTGCCGCCTGGCAACACGCTACGGAGATTTTAGGCTAGT